GAGGGCCCAGAGCAGTAGCATGAGATGCTACATCTAACAGAAGGGAGCTCAGGTGTCTGCGCTTATCCTGATATCCTCTACCTCTACTTGATCCCCAGCCATTGGCATCATTTAGAAACTTACAGAGAGAAAGTTAATTCTTTTGCACTGTGAGTTATTTTGGTAAAGTGACTAGCTGACCATCATGAAAAACACCAGCACTATCACTTCCTCATCTGCAGGTTGCATATGCCTTCCAGTCATTCCTTCCAAACATTTCCTGACTTGGAACTGGCAATAAGCAGTCCCTACTCCCGTTGATGGTATGATCAAGCAGGTACTAGTGTTTGTGATCAGACAGTGATTTGCCCTAGTAGAACTATTCCTCTCTGTTTGGAAGGGAGGACAGAATTACATTCTAGAGTTTGTCCTGAGGTACTGGTAAAGTTCAGAAGGGAGCTCTTGAGGATAGGATACTTGACTGCCCCAAGGTAACAATCCAACTTCCACGGACAACATGGAAAACGAGAATGTTACAGAAAAAACAACACACATCTCAAAGTTCTGTTTGGAGCAAAAGTCGTTAAGACCTTGGAACAGAAGTGAAGTAGGATTCATCATTACTTTTGTGCGCCTTCTTTCTTGAATAATTCTTAAAAGTCAATTTAAAGATGGATGTCAGTCACATACATGACTTTTTTCCAGAGCTGTAGGAATTTGGATATGAGGCTTTAATATGACAATTCTGATTTCACATTTGGGACCAGATAGGTGAGAACAGTAGAGCAAGAATGGGAAGAAAAGCCAAGAGGCTGTCTGCAAAGTAAACGCTAATGTTTAGTAGAAGTACTGACCATGGTGAATATTTTTGAAAATAAATGTGAGAGCTTAAAATCTACAAATTCCATACGCAGCTTTTAAAAAAATCCAGTTACTTTTTTCATGTAGCTTTAGAAACACAATACCAATGTCTTGAAAACACTTCCATGGAATCTTTGAAATATCTATTTAATACAACCAGCCTGTTCAGAATAAGGCTCAATGTGAGCTTTTCCTCCTATCCTACCAGCATCCCTTTGTCTGCCCGAGGCAGACAGCTGTTGCAGGTGACATGCAGTTATGCCGTCTCCCTGGACGTTTAGGATTTGGCATCTCCACTGCAGACAAGAAGGGTGCTATTTGCATTGAAGGCAGGCTGCCCGGCCATGTCCAGACTGAGAGCATCTGCAGGTCAGGAATAATACTCATAGCAGCTATCATTCCCAAAATTCACTGGTAATCCTCCATTCAGGCTGCATTTGGTCACTTGAATGACATTAAAACATACTTGCTGTCTGAATAAATGATTCTTAAACCAAAAGGTTTTCAAACTGTACATGCAACATTTCTCTGCATGATACGTGAACTGGATCACGCATCCAGTCACAGTGGGGCTAAGATTTCTACTTAAGTGAACAGTAAGGAAATTTTACGAAGGAATTTCCCAGGTCTCCTGTCTACACAGCAGTGGAGTTAAAGAGGAGAGGGCATCCCTTACAGAGAAAGTCCACAGCATAATTAGGAAACAATCAACACATTTTCTTATGCTGATTTTTTCTTCACTTTAAACTGCTTCATTGACTTTAATTAAACTTGCCCTAGGCTTATGAATCTAGCAAGCTGCTGAAACACTTAAAAATTAAATAAAATAAAATCAGCTTTCTTGGCAGAAGGGTTTTCACCAGCTTGCTCACCTGTACCAAACTTCTGATTTAGAGGATTTTTAAATGATAGAAATGTTGTATGTGATACTGCAAGGCTCTTTGTTGTTTTTGCTCTTGAATTAAAATGACCTCCCACTGCCACAGTAAGAATCACAGAATTAAATTGTTGGGATTCTCTGCACTTCTCTAGCATCCGTGCAGACCTCCTTTGCTGATTTCTGAGAAGAGGTATAAAGCTGCCTTCCCCAACTTCCCTACCAGCCCTACTCCTGGTTTTGCCACAGGCCAAAGAAAAAGAACATGGTACACTTAGAATACTGACAATTTCCTTACCAATAGCGCAGGCCAAGGTCAGATATATATGACACAGACTTTGGAGAAATAAAACAGATTACCAGTGTCCTGCCCCAACCTGCGCCTGACTCATCAGCATATCATCAAAAGTTGTACGAATGAGACTGAATGGAGTAACTGATAGAGCATAACCATCAAAAGAAGTAATGGAAGGAGGGAACAAACTGTTTTGTCTGCTTTATCTATTTGATATGGGAATATTTATTCTTAAAACTTGCCTCAACTTTCCAGACCAAAATAGATCTGAGTTAATCAAATACTTACTAAGAGTATGCCAGAGTATATCTTTTTATTTACTGCTCTACAGCGAGGAGACAGAAATACACATAACGGACAGCTGGATGTACTTTTCGTACTGCTGTGTTCAAGGAAGTTGCAATACCCCTAGATTAGTTTAGGGAGGGCAGCGATTAGCTGGGGAAAGCCAAAATAACCTGACTTACTGAAAGAAAGAGTAAGGGCTAATTATTTACAAATACTGTTTTTTTCTGATCTCTACCACAGATCCCTGTCATAGCATCTTGTGCTTCTACTCTTTTTCTTGATTTCTGTTTCCACTTTAGTCCATGTTAGTTCTGTTCCCTAGTCACTTCTATTTAAATGTTTACAAGGTGATTCGGGCATGGCAGATATAGGAAATACTGGTATTATGGGAAAATCTAGGTGGGCAGCAAAGAGATGAATTTCCTGACTGGATCAAACATGTTCCATCTTGGAATCATCTAATTTCATTAGATAGTGACTCGCATTTTATTACGATACTAAATAACATCGTTTTTAGTTAGAGATAGGCCTGAGTATCCCCAAAACATTGGAAAAGCTGAGGTCTGTCTGAATATTTTACAATTTGGTGTATCATTGTTTTGTGTTACTCTTAGAGACATATATTTTCTGTTTTCTCCCAGGAATTTCTTAAAGACAAGGGAGAAGAGTTCGAAAACCTTGCTTTTATGTCTAGAAATGCTATTAAAGCAAAATACCTCTTGCAAAAATTCCAAACTTTGCTAAGAAATTATAGAGCATCAGCTACTTGCATCTCTTTTCTTTCCCTGACACAGCACCATGGAGCAGTTTAGGCATTATTCTGAGGCTCAGGAGATTTGAATTCAACTCTTGAACAAATCACTAATTTCTGTTTTTTTCCCGCACACACCTACAAAAGAGAGAGCACACTATGGCCTACTGCTCTTGAAGCTCTGCTGACACACCTACCCTAAAGTCAGAAAGATTTTCACCAATTTTTTTGACATTGGGATCAGCCCTATATATCTGTGAATAGGCTACATATACAATATGGTAATAACTATCAGTTGTATCTTGAACATGCACATAATCCATTTAATGCTGATGAAACGTGAAGACTTTTCCAAATAAACAGGTATACCTATTACACAGAGTAAGCAATTTAAAATAAGATACATTTTCTACTCATGTCAACTCAAGCTGTTTAATGCCACAGCAGTATTACACCATAGTTTATGGAGCTTTTCCTTCATCAAAAATGTCTTTGGGAACTTTACATTAACTTCAATAGATGCCAGAACAAGCCCTAGAGCAGGAAATGAAGAAATATACTGTACCCAAATGAAACTGCAGTGGGAATTTAGGTAGGCAGAATGTAATTATTCACACTGGAATCTGGCTAGAGCTCTCGGTTAATATCCCTATTCCGGCAAAAATATCGTGAGATACATAATTACCAAGGGTAGCAAGGCTCCTGGCTCACCTCTCACTCAAAAGACACGACAAAGAAGAAGAATGGTCTACTGGGACTTTGATTTGATGTTGAGTAAAAGAAAGGAGTGACATTTACTGCACCTGCAACACTTGCCAAGAAACAAGATATATTAAGTAAATAATCACCTTTTTGGGACCTCCATCTAGAAAATAGTCATTTCTTCAGAAATAAAGAGGGTTTTTGAAAAACAGGAAACTTGGGTCTTTGTCGGTGAAATGCAAGTAAATATTGACCACTTAGACACCCAGGCAAATCCAAAATGCATCGCTCTCCTTATTTTGTGGACAGTTCTAGGGGACAGTCTTTGGAAACTAGCGCCTCTGCAAAATGCTAACACTTACCATTTTTATATTCATTGATGCAGATGAGGACACCAAGAAGCACTGAAAAAATAATGGTTTCTCTTGCAAATGCACTGAATGGTTAAGTAACAAAAACTTTTCAAATCTTGTAATAGAACTGCATTACATTCCAGCAAAGTGGATCCATTTCTGAGGTGGAACATGACAGCTTTTTAACTTGCTACAACAATATGTGACAGGAAGAATACTATATTCAGTTGATACCGTAGGGCGATTTATGGAGGCAGAATGTAATAATATAAATTGAGTTTCAGAAAAGACACTGTGACTAATCTTACAAAAAATGCTATGGGATATTTAATAATCCTGGTGGGTCAGAAGTTGTTCTTCAAAAAAATTATTTTAAGACTGATTGCTATTAAAGTTATGTACTGCATTTGGTTCATTTTTCATTTAACTACGTAGTCTAAACCTGCTGTCAAGTGCACATATTTGAGTTGTAACTGGACTCCCATACAAATGGAAGAGAGTCACCAACTCTCATCCAAAATTGCTGAATCACAGAATATTTAAGGTAGTAAATGCCCTCGGAAGAGTCACAAGACAAGCACCTGTCCGCATCTCTTTAGCTACCCCCAGCACTTCTCACTGGTGTTTATAGCGCTCCGTTAATCAAAAACGAACCAGGAATCAGAGAGCAGCCTAACGCTCCTCTCGAACCCGCCCTGCCCTCTTCCCCCCACCCCTTCTCATACCCGCGGCCTCCTTTCCCCGTGGACAGCCACGGCACCCGCTCCTTAAGCTGCAAGTGATAATTTTGAGGAGACTGAAGCAAGCAGAAGGGAGAGGAGAAAACAAAGTAGATAGGTAAAGGGCTTGACCCAAATCCCTTCAGAATTGGTGGCAAAACTATGCTTTACTTACCTGGACTTTGGATGAGAGTACTAGTGAAAAAGGAGAACGTGTTCCCTCAGTAGTTCCCTCAGTAGTTTCCCTCGCAGTTCTGGAGGAAGGCGGCCAGTTGCACGTGTTTGAAGTTCAGAGCTGAAATCACGCAGTTTTACCACAAGACAAGGACGGAACGGGAGGCGGCTGGCGGGCCGGGCACG